CAGATGGTGGTGAGGACATTCTCGCGTGGCCAATGGTTCAGAAACAGATGGTGGTGAGGACATTCTCGCGTGGCCAATGGTTCAGAAACAGATGGTGGGGAGGACATTCTCACGTTACCAATGGTTCAAAAACAGATGGTGGCGAGGACATTCTCACGTTGTCAATGGTTCAGAAACAGATGGTGGTGAGGACATTCTCACATTGCCAATGGTTCAGAAACAGATGGTGGTGAGTACATTCTCACGTTGCCAATGGTTCAGAAACAGATGTTTGTGAGGACATTCTCACGTTGCCAATGGTTTAGAAACAGATGGTGGCGAGGACATTCTCACATTGCCAATGGTTCAGAAACAGATGGTGGGGAGGACATTATCACGTTACCAATGGTTCAGAAACAGATGGTGGAGAGGACATTCTCACGTTACCCATGGTTCAGAAACAGATGGTGGTGAGGACATTCTCACGGTGCCAATGGTTCAGAAACAGATGGTGGCGAGGCCATTCTCACGTTACCAATGGTTCAGAAACGGATGGTGGTGAGGACATTCTCACGTTACCAATAATTCAGAAACAGATGGTGGTGATGACATTCTCACGTTGCCAATGGTTCAGAAACAGATGTTTGTGAGGACATTCTCACGTTGCCAATGGTTTAGAAACAGATGGTGGTGAGGACATTCTCACGTTCCCAATGGTTCAGAAACAGATGGTGGTGAGTACATTCTCACGTTGCCAATGGTTCAGAAACAGATGGTGGCGAGGACATTCTCACAGTGCCAATGGTTCAGAAACAGATGGTGGCGAGGACATTCTCACGTTGCCAATGGTTCAGAAACAGATGGTGGCGAGGACATTCTCACGGTGCCAATGGTTCAGAAACAGATGGTGGCGAGGACATTCTCACAGTGCCAATGGTTCAGAAACAGATGGTTGCAAGGACATTCTCACGTTACCAATGGTTCAGAAACAGTTGGTGGTGAGGACATTCTCACGTTGCCAATGGTTCAGAAACAGATGTTTGTGAGGACATTCTCACGTTGCCAATGGTTCAGAAACAGATGGTGGTGAGGACATTCTCACGTGACCAATGGTTCAGAAATCTATTCATCCTATATATCGATAATCTATGAATGACAACTCGCCTCAACACCATTAACACGAACAGTTCCAAATTGTGATTTTTTACAGTAGTTATTTAGACTGTCTTGCTGTAACTCATTAAAATTCAGGTTCAGGAATAGACCTATAGTCATTTATTAAGGGTGACCTCAACACTTGCAAGAAATGGAGCGAAATCAGACATTATACAAGTTGAACAAGATTGTGAATGTCACAAGTCTCTTTTCCCTACCTGTCTGCCAAAGTATGTTTATCTAGCCTCTATGGTGTGGTACAGTTATAGCTGCTGACAACCTACCAACACTAGTTCCTCTTTATAAAGCACAGTTTGTTAGAATATATTGCATCAATCAACAATTCAGATGAGATATTGAACAATCATATATCAAACATATTTACCAGGTTAGGACTGTATTGCAGATCACCTTCCTTACCTTTGATACTAACAAACACACAGCAGGGAGTGAATTACGTGATCTGTGATGATACTTTTCACGGCAACATTACGCCAAACAATCTCCTCAGCCAATGAAATCGGAAAAAAACCAAGTCAAAATTCACTCTCTGTCATGCATTACTTACCTGACTCTGTGAAACCAACAGTCAGGCTTTTCGCAGACGACTGCCTACTTTATAGAGAAATAAACAAGGACCTTAAAACACTTCAAGATGACCTGAAACAGCTCGAAACTTGGGCTGCAGACTGGGGGATGAAATTCAATGCCAAATAAATGTTACATTCTTTGTATTGATAAGAAAAAGGAAACTCAATCAGCTTAATGGACACAACTTCGATCACGTTCAGACAAATATATACCTAGTGTTACAGCTATCAGGGGATATGAAATGGAAAGAACAAAAGCAAACATTACTAATAAGGCCAGTTCCACCCTAGGCTTTCTACGACGTAACCTACATCACTGTCCCAGAGAATATAGAAAGACAGCATACACTGCTCTTGTTAGATCCATCATGGAATACGGAGCCATAATCTGGGACCCAAAAATAGACTTACATCAGTAAATTGGAAAGTATTCAACGCAGAGGGGCGCGTTTCATCCAGAGGAACTACAGAACAAGGGAAGAGGGATTTATGACAAAACTTCTCAAAGATCTACAGCTTCCATCACTAGCATCAAGACGAAAACAACAGAGATTAATATTCTATTATAAAATCGTAGAGGAGCAAATTCCTTCAATGCCCTGGGAAAACTTTATTCGTTTTCAGTGTGAGAAAAGGAAAACACGACAGCGTAAGTTCCAGGACTGCGAGACATCAGGACCAATTCCAAATTCAATCGGGAACAATAGCAGAGCAATCATAATGCCTAACAGCAATACAGATCAGTACAGAAACCCATCCTTTGTGCAAACAGCTACAGACTGGAACCACCTGGACGATAACACAGTCGGGGCGCATGGAATAGAGGCATTTCAATCATCAATCCCTACCAACTAGGAGCTCCTAGTATCTTTGTTGAGTTCGGTGGCAAGATTTTCAAGCAAACTGTTGGCATTCTACTGGGAACATTCTGTGCCCCTCTTTCGGCCGATTCGTTTCTGTTTTCATATGAAGCTTATCATTACTTGTAACAAAAACCTAGTCACAGTCTTCAAGTAAACATTCAGATTTATCGACGATGTGGTGTCACTGAATAACAAGAACTTAATTGACCACATTGATTGTATATACCCTCAAGAGCTTCAAACCAAGGACACCAAAGACTCGTCCTCTCCAGCCGCTTTCCTCAATCTTGATTTATATGACAAACAGGCACGACTTACTACTAAACTATACGATAAGCCTGACGATTTCGACTTTCCGATCGTGAACCTTCCCTTTCTTAATAGCAACATTCTTGCTTCCCCTACCTACGGTGTTTACATGTCCTAGTTAATTCGGTACCCTGGGGCTTGCTCCGAATATCTTAACTTCCGTGATAACATACGACTGCTGACGGACAAACTTACAGCACAGGGGTTTCCGTGATAGATGTCGACTGCTGACAGACAAACTTACAGCACAGGGGTTTCAGTGATAGATGTCGACTGCTGACGGACAAACTTACAGCACAGGGGTTTACAAAGATGCAGACCGCCCTATTACCTGCTACTAGAAAACTATTTACTTTATGTATACTGTTCAACTAATAACAGCATCTTCTCGTTGGAAACTTTTTTTCAAAGTCAAATGTTCAATTGTGGTATCCGAAATTAATGCTCCCTGCCTCAGCTCTAAAAGTAGTGTCAATGTATAGCCTGCTTAAGCCTTGGGCTGACCAAGGGATACCAATATGGCTAGCTTCAGCTTGAGGATACTATGCAATACCAACTTAGTGTGTTACAACCGCGAAGATACTAAGCAATATTAATTGAGCCTTATCTGACTTCGAGGGTACAACACGATATCAATGTGACCCGTTCCAACCTAGAAGATATTATAGAATACACAATGAACCTGTCCCAGGCTATGGGATAATATGCAACACCAAAGTAACCTGTTCCACACCAAGAATACCTCGCTACACCAATACAACATGTCCCAGCCCCGATTTTGCTATACAAGACATATTCTTATCTTTTTCAGCCTCATGTATATATACGACGATATAATTATACATGCAACCTGTTCTAACCTTGAAGACACTACACAATGTCCATGCAGCCTGTTTCAGCCCCGAGTATGCTATGCAATTTGGCCTTTTCCGGTCTCATGTATATGTACATCACAAAGTACCACTGTCACATGTTCAAGCCTCTAGGATAAGTTGCCTATTCCGGCCTGGACGTTACTACGCAATGCCAATGTAGCCTGTTGAAGCAACGTCATTGACAGCATTCAGTACAGCTAAGGCCTGTTCCAGCCTTTACGATAGTAGCCATAGAATAGTGCCTGTTTCTGCTTCAAGGATGCTGCAATATAGTAATGTAGCGAGTTATAGCCTCTGGGACACTAGGTAACACCAATGCAGCCTATGCCAGGCTCGAACTTATTACACAATACCAAACTAGTCTGTTCGAGCCTCGACAATACTATGCAATACTAATTTAGACTTTCTGACCTAGAGGATACATACAACGCAATATATATGTAGTTTGTTTCAGCCTGCAAGATACTTCGCAAGACCAATGGAGCCTGTTCTAGCCTGGATGATACTACACATTAGCAATGTAGCCCTCCAATCTTAAGGAAAGAACAGCATTTCATTGCAGCCTGACCAAACATAATTGATAGTACCACATGCAAATGAAGCGTGCCAACACCTTGCCGATAGTACCTCATATCAATGAGTTTTTGAAAACCTTACTGCTAGTATCACATACGAATAAAGTCTGTCTCAGCAACAGTAACAGATATCTATGTACTGGCGTCACCTGTTTTTGATAATGGCGAGCCTGCAAAGCTAGGACTAGTCGCACTGTATTAAGTGTTGGAGAGCCCGTATGTGCTTGCAAGTGAATCAATTTGTTTTGATAGCTCTTCAATAACATCGAGTATGCTATACTGAAAGGAATGCCCGTTGAGAAATTAAGCATTGTCGTTGAGTTATGGCGAGTAAATTGAGTAACCCTTGATGTCGAAATGTATTGCTGTCTTCGCTGACACTCGGGAACAGTTCTATAAGACTTGGAATAATAATATTTTGTCAACAGTTGAAAGTGTTCTTGCAAATGAATGAGATGCTGTCGTAAAGAGAAGGACTACCATTACATTGACATATGTGTAAGAAGCATTGGAGTTGGTTTACTGTAACGGTATATGTGAAGAACTGACGGTACACCACTGTCGGGCTCGCCCAAGACACGCTATAATTTGCCTTAGATACAGGAGGGTTTGCCTACGACAGTGTATACACAGAGACTATCGATCGCCAGCTCGGCGGAGCAGTTGATAGTGCGGCTAGAAACAGCGAGGCTGGCGGTTACTTGCCTTTCTGGTATGGGATTCCTAGGTCGAAATTCTGTGATTAGTTCAACCCAACACGTGTGAAATACAGTTAATTTTATATAAACGGATGTGCTATGTGATAATAACCGTAATCTGTTAGCAGTCTGATGACCTCCACCAACACCACGTGAAAAGGAAAATTCGCCTCCCGAGTATTTGGCTAGGAGATGCTCGACCTTCCCACCATAGCCTCCGCGTGAACATCGCTACATCAAACTCGCTAACTCCCAGGATGCTTCAAATTATTCACATTCAGGATTGCAACCGAAACTTTTGATCATGTTTTCCCATTATTCGTTAAATTTCGATATGTTATGTTGCAAATAAATTATAGGTAGCATATCTTTAGGCGGATACATAATTTCGACCGCCAAACACAACAACGAAGCATTGGGTAAGATACATTTATTCAATTTACTTTTTCGATACCGTACTACTACTTCGATATGTTGATATGAAATATCAATGAGTACTGTGATGTGTGTAGTGTGATACTGTGCTGTGATGTAAGTGGGTAGTGTGATACTGTTCCGTGATGTCAGTGTGTAGTGTGATAATGTTCCGTGATGCAAGTGTGTATTGTGATACTGTACTGTGATATAAGTGTGTAGTGTGCTAAGTACTGTGATGTAAGTGTGCAGTGTGATACTGTACTGTGGTGTGTGTAGAGTGATACTGTTCCGTGATGTATGTAGGGTGATACTGTACTGGGATGTGTGTAGTGTGATACTTTACTGTGATGTGTGTAGTGGGAAACTGTTCCGTGATGTATGTAGTGTGATACTGTGCTGTGATGTAAGTGTGTAGTTTGATTCTGTACTGTGATGTAAGTGTGGAGTGTGATACTGTGATGTGATGTATGTAGTGTGATTCTGTTGTGTTGTGTGTGTAGTGTTATTCTGTTCTGTGATGTGTAGTGTGATACTGTGCTGTGATATAAGTGTGTAGTTTGATACTGGTCCGTGATGTATGTAGTGTGATTCTGTTGTGTTGTGTGTGTAGTGTTATTCTGTTCTGTGATGTGTAGTGTGATACTGTGCTGTGATATAAGTGTGTAGTATTATATTGTACTGTGATGTGTGTAGTGAGATACTGTACTGTGATGTACGTATGTAGTGTGATACTGTGCTGTGGTGTGTGTAGTGTGATACTCCCCCGTGATGTGTGTAGTGTGATTCTGTTCTGTGATGTGTAGTGTGATACTGTAGTATGATACTGTACTGTGATGAGTGTAGTGTGATACCGTACTGTGATGTGTGTAGTGCGATACTGTACTGTGCTGTAAGTGTGTAGTGTGATAGTGTGCTGTGATGTATGTAGTGTGATACTGGGCTGTGATGTAAGTGTGTAGTTCGATACTGTACTGTGATGTGTGAAGTGTGATACTGTTCCGTGATATAAGTGTGTAGTGTGCTAAGTACTGTGATGTAAGTGTGCGGTATGATACTGTTCTGTGATGTAAGTGTGTAGTTTGATTCTGTACTGTGATGTAAGTGTGTAGCGTGATACTGTACTGTGATGAGTGTAGTGTGATACTATACTGTGATGTGTGTAGTGAGATACTGTACTGTGATGTATGTAGTGTGATTCTGTTGTGTTGTGTGTGTAGTGTTATTCTGTTCTGTGATGTGTAGTGTGATACTGTATTGTGATGTGTGGAGTGTGAAACTGTACTGTGATGTGTGTTGTGTGATACTGTGATGTGATGTATGTAGTGTGATTCTGTTGTGTTGTGTGTGTAGTGTTATTCTGTTCTGTGATGTGTGTATTGTGATACTGTACTGTGGTGTGTGTAGAGTGATACTGTACTGTGATGGAAGTATGTAGTGTGATACTGTGCTGTGATGTAAGTGGGTAGGGCGATACTGTACTGTGATGTGGGTAGTGTGATACTGTTCCGTGACGTAAGTGTGTAGTGTGATAGTGTACTGTGATGTGTGTAGGGTGATACTGTACTGTGATGAGTGTAGTGTGATACTGTACGGTGATGTGTGTAGTGTGAGACTGTGCTGTGATGTAAGTGGGTAGGGCGATACTGTACTGTGATGTAAGGATGTAGTGTGATACTGTACTGCGATGTGTGTAGTGTGATACTCCCCCGTGATGTGTGTAGTGTGATCTGTTCCGTGATGTCAGTGTGTAGTGTGATAATGTACTGTGATGTGTGTAGTAGGTGTGTAGTGTGATAATGTTCCGTCATGCAAGTGTGTAGTCTGATCCTGTTCCGTGATGTAAGTGTGTAGTGCGATACTGAACTGTGATGTAAGTGTGTAGTGTGATGCTGTACTGTGATGTGTGTAATGTGATACTGTACTGTGATGAGTGTAGTGTGATACCGTACTGTGATGTGTGTAGTTTGATACTGTACTGTGATGTGGGTAGTGTGATACTGTACTGAGTTGTGCGTAGTGTGATACTGTACTATGATGTAAGTGTGTAGTGTAATACTGTACTGTGATGTGTGAAGTGTGATACTGTTCCGTGATGTATGTAGTGTGATTCTGTTGTGTTGTGTGTGTAGTGTTATTCTGTTCTGTGATGTGTAGTGTGATACTGTATTGTGATGTGTGGAGTGTGAAACTGTACTGTGATGTGTGTTGTGTGATACTGTGATGAGATGTATGTAGTGTGATACTGGGCTGTGATGTAAGTGTGTAGTTTGATTCTGTTCCGTGATGTAAGTATGTAGTGTGACACTGTACTGTGATGTGTGTTGTGTGAAACTGTTCCGTGACGTAGGTGTGTAGTGTGATAATGTGTGATATAAGTGTGTAGTGTGATACGGTACTGTGATGAAAGTATATAGTGTGATACTGTACTGTGACGTAAGTGTGTAGTGTGATAGTGTGCTGTGATGTATGTAGTGTGATTCTGTTGTGTTGTGTGTGTAGTGTTATTCTGTTCTGTGATGTGTAGTGTGATACTGTGCTGTGGTGTGTGTAGTGTGATACTGAACTGTGATGTGTGTAGTGTTATACTGTACTGTGATGTGTGAAGTGTGATACTGTTCCGTGATATAAGTGTGTAGTGTGATACTGGACTGTGATGTGTGTAGTGAGATACTGTACTGTGATGTAGGTATTTAGTTTGATACTGTACTGTGATGGAAGTATGTAGTGTGATACTGTTCTGTGATGTAAGTGTGTAGAGTGATACTGTTCCGTGATGTCAGTGTGTAGTGTGATACTGTACGGTGATGTGTGTAGTGTGATCCTGTTCTGTGATGTGTGTAGTGTGATACTGTACTGTGATATAAGTGTGTAGTATGATATTGTACTGTGATGTGTGTAGTGTGAAACTGTTCCGTGATGTAGGTGTGTAGTGTGATAATGTTCCGTGATGCAAGTGTGTAGTGTGATACTGTTCCGTGATGTAAGTGTGTAGTGTGATACTGTACTGTGATGTGTGTAGTGTGATAATGTACTGTGATATGTGTAGTGTGAAACTGTTCCGTGATGTAAGTGTGTAGTGTGATACTGTTCCGTGATATAAGTGTGTAGTGTGATACTGTACTGTGATGTGTGTAGTGTGATACTGTACTGTGGTGTGTGTAGTGTGATACTGTACTGTGGTGTGTGTAGTGTGATACGGTACTGTGATGGAAGTATGTAGTGTCATACTATACTGTGATGTAAGTATGTAGTGTCATACTATACTGTGATGTAAGTGTGTAGTGCGATACTGTACTGTGATGTAAGTGTGTAGTGTGATACTGTACTGTGATGTAAGTGTGTAGTGTGATACTGTTCCGTGATGTAAGTGTGTAGTGTGATACTGTGATGTAAGTGTGGAGTGTGATACTGTACTGCGATGTGTGTAGTGTGGTACTGTTCCGTGATGTAAGTCTGTAGTGTGATACTGTTCCGTGATGTAAGTGCGTAGTGTGATACTGTACTGTGATGTAAATATGTAGTGTGATACTGTACTGTGATGTAAATGTGTAGTGTGATACTGTACTGCGATGTGTGTAGTGTGGTACTGTTCCGTGATGTAAGTCTGTAGTGGGATACTGTTCCGTGATGTAAGTGTGTAGTGTGATACTGTTCCGTGATGTCAGGGTGTAGTGTGATACTGTTCCGTGATGTCAGGGTGTAGTGTGATACTGTTCCGTGATGTCAGGGTGTAGTGTGATACTGTTCCGTGATGTCAGGGTGTAGTGTGATACTGTTCCGTGATGTAAGTCTGTAGTGTGATACTGTTCTGTGATGTATGTAGTGTGATACTGTACTGTGATGTGTGTAGTGGGATACTGTACTGTGGGGTGTGTAGTGTGATACTGTTCCGTGATGTCAGGGTGTAGTGTGATACTGTACTATGATGTAAGTGTGTAGTGTGATACTGTGATGTAAGGGTGTAGTTTGATACTGTACTGTGATGTAAGTATGTAGTGTGATACTGTACTGTGATGTGTGGAGTGTGATACTCTACTGTGATGTAAGTATGTAGTGTGATAATGTACTGTGATGTGTGTAGTGTGATACTGTACTAGTGTGATAATGTTCCGTGATGTAAGTGTGTAGTGTGATACTGTCCTGTGATGTAAGTGTGTAGTGTGATACTGTGATGTAAGTGTGGAGTGTGATACTGTACTGCGATGTGTGTAGTGTGATACTGTTCCGTGATGTCAGGGTGTAGTGTGATACTGTTCCGTGATGTCAGGGTGTAGTGTGATACTGTTCCGTGATGTCAGGGTGTAGTGTGATACTGTACTATGATGTAAGTGTGTAGTGTGATACTGTACTGCGATGTGTGTAGTGTGATACTGTTCCGTGATGTAAGTCTGTAGTGTGATACTGTTCCGTGATGTAAGTGTGTAGTATGATTCTGTTCCGTGATGTAAGTATGTAGTGTGATACTGTACTGTGATGTTAGTAGTGTGATACTGTACTGTGATATAAGTATATAGTGTGATACTGTACTGTGATGTAAGTGTGTAGTGTGATAGTGTACTGTGATGTAAGTTTGGAGTGTGATACTGTTCCGTGATGTAAGTGTGTAGTGTGATACTGTACTGTGATGTGTGTAGTGTGATACGGTACTGTGATGTAAGTATATAGTGTGATACTGTACTGTGATGTAAGTATGCAGTGTGATACTGTTCGGTGATGTAGGTGTGTAATGTGGTACTTTTCCGTGATGTAGGTGTGTAGTGTGGTACTGTTCGGTGATGTAGGTGTGTAATGTGGTACTTTTCCGTGATGTAGGTGTGTAGTGTGATACTGTACTGTGGTGTGTGTAGTGTGATACTGTACTGCGATGTGTGTAGTGTGATACTGTTCCGTGATGTAAGTGTGTAGTGTGATACTGTACTGTGATGTAAGTGTGTAGTGTGATACTGTACTGTGATGTAAGTGTACGGTATGATAATGTACTGTGATGAAAGTGTGTAGTGTG